GTGGGTTCTGGGTGCTGGGACAACTGAGTCATCTCCTCAGCCCAGATTTTAAATTTTAACTTGTAACTAACTGGGAAATACTTTTATGACTCTTTTTCTATGATTGGAATAGTTTTCTTACTACCTAATTCACATTTTACCCCTTCTTTCTCCCTTTTCTCATTTCTTCATTTTATCAATTAAATATTGGTACCCTTAAATATATACTTACAAAGTGTATACACATATGTTAATATACTTCAGTACATTTCAGTATACTTGTAATATAGATAGAGCTGTGTCGTCGTTTTCCACAGCAGTACCCCACTGTTTTTGAAACTTACTAAGGAAAGAGGTGAAAGGCACAAAGTGTCTTCTACTGAAAAGAACAGGACTCCTGTTATCCACTGCATTTTTTTTACTACAGTCACCATTGTTGCTAAAGAGCAGTAGGAAGTATTATTATAACTGAAGACAAATCACAGGAAAGCTCATGTAAAATAAAACAACAAAAGCAGTAGAAAAAGAGAAAAATAAAAACTAGAAGAAACATCCATCCTAACAATGTGTAAGACAGAAACAACAAAAAGTACGCACACAAGACCCAACACTTTCTTAAGCTCACGGCGCCTCAACAATGAAAATCATAGCTCACAGAACAGCTGTGATACCAGAACAAGATTTCAGAGTCCTATTTTTTCTTTAAAAAAAAAAAAAAAAAAAAAAAAAAAAAACGATCAGTGACCATACACAGACTAATGAAAGAGGTAGGGAAATCATAATCTAACCAAAGTGGGAAAATGGGCTATACTTTGAAGCAGAAATTGGAAAACATGGAAGAAAATTTAATTGAGGAAATAGACTCTAAAAAAGAACCAAACAGGATTTGTGTAAATGAAGAAATTAATGAAAATGCAGTGGAATCTATCAAGAGACAAGACCACGCAGAAAAACAAGCTGTAGCGATAGACTTGACTAAATACTAATAGGCACATATAGGAAAGAAAACTGGTGAACATGACCAACATTTTCAAGAATTCTGGGGTACATCCAAGAAAGTAAACCTGATAGTTCAAGGAGCTTTTAAAGCACAGGCACTTTATTCAATGAAATCACACCAGTAAATTCCCTAAAAATAGAGAAAAAAGACATCCAAATATGAGAAGCATTTTGTTATTTTTGTTTTTTGAGACAGGATCTCACTCTTTAGGCCTGGCTGGCCTGAACTCGCTGTGTAAACCAGGCTGTTCTCGGATGCACTGTAGTCTGCCTGCCTCTACTTCTATAGAGCTAGAATTAAAGGCCTGTGCCACCATGCATAGCACAGGAGGCATTATCAATACCAAGTAGGCATGAACAGAGAGGAACCTCTCTCCAACAGGAAAGCGTAGAATGATGTATTTTGATCCCTCAGAGTAAATGTCGACCAAGATTTTTATACCTATCAAATTTACTTCTTCAATTGATGTAAAAATAAAAAAATTTGAAGATAATAGATTAAGGCAGTTCATGACAACCATGCCAGCACTACAGAAAACATTTAAGAAATGAATACTATACAAAAAGAAAGACAAAGTTTCATCTAGAAAATGCAAGAAAGAATACATTTCACGAGAGGAATAGACGATCAGAAGAGAGCTAGGAGGGGCTCATCATTTCCAACATACAAAACAGTGAAATGTCAATATTAATAGGATAGGAAGGGAAAAATTATCATAACCTAACCAACCAGAACAACAGCCAACAAAACCATAGGAAATAGCAAACCCTTCTAAAAGTAACAGTAAAGTCAAATGGCTTCAATTTACCTACTGAAAGATGAAGACATACCACCCCACATTAAAACACAAGATCCAACTATTTGTTGTCTCAAATACACCTCACTGTCAAAGATAAGCAAACATTGAGAGTTTGGAAAACAGTCTACAAAACAAGCAAATCATAAGCAAGCTAATATAACAAGTCTCATGTCTGATGAAGTAGATTTTGAACTAAAACTAATTAGAAGAGGGAAGAACAATATATATTTTGAAGAAAGGAACAAGTTATCAAAAAATATAAGAATTTGTATTTATGTACCAAATCTTGGGGTTTCTAGTTTCATAAAACAAACTAAAAGGTATAAAAAAAAAATCAGGTATGTCCAGACACAATAGAATATTTTGGTTGCCATTCTCACCTTTGGATAGGTCTTCTAAACTAAAATCTTGCAAAGATTTAAACTATATCACAAATCAATTTGATTTAACAGAGATTTACAGAATATTTCATATAACAAATAGGGACTGTATGTTCTCAGTACTAATAGAACCTTCTCTAAAGTCAGTCATGACGGGCCATGAAGCCAGCTTTAACAAACGCGAAGCAATTAAAAATAATTCCTTGTATCTTAACATAGTGGTAGGATAAAAACTAGATATTAATAGCAAAAGGAAACACAGAAATCACACAAATACTTGAAGATCAAATAGTACAGTTTCATATGACTAGTAGAGGAGAATGTTAAATTCTTCGATTCGGATACAAATCATAGCACAATCCACCAAAACCTCTCAGGTATAGGCAAGAAGTTGTAAGAGGAAGGTTTCTAAAACGTCACAAACCCACGAATCTTTGAATCAATAAACATGCTAATGAACTGAGTAGACAGGTCTCAAGAGGAGAAATGAAGTTGCCAATTTAACTGGGTCTGGATTCAACTAAGAGACAAACATCTAGGTACAACTGTGAGGGATTTTTCTCACATCGGAAGATCTACCTGATGTGGGTCACACCCCCTGGTATCAACCCAGATACAAAGGAGTCTACAGGAAAGGCTTTAGTTTTTGCCTATTTGCCTCTGCCTGAATGTTTTCCTGCCTTGTTCGTAAGTTCATCTATGCTGCTGCTGCCCCCGCCGCTGCCACTAAATGCCTTTGCTGGTAACAGAGCCCATCTTCTTCAAGCTTCCAAGGTAGAGTAATTTGGACTGAAGACCTGTGTCTCTCTAGGAATCTTCCAGGCCTTCAGTACAGGTTGGGACTGCTGAAACGCCCAGCTTTATGGTCTCGGCCACTCCAGTGTAAAGACAGCCATTGTTTGACTTCCTCAACTGAACTATGGAAGTCGGTCTAAGGTTTAAGGAATCCCTTTCATATATATATATATATATATATATATATATATATATATATATATCTGTCTGTCTGTCTGCCTGTCTGTATGTATGTATGTATATGTCTGTATGTATAGGGGTGTGTGTGTATGTGTATATATATATATAGAGAGAGAGAATGTATATATAGAATGTATATCTAGAATATATATAGAATATATATATACATATATGTATATGTATATATATATACACTGTTGTTTCTGTTCCTCTATAGAACCATGACCATATACTTTGAATGCTACTTTTAAAAATAAAAAATATTTTTTTGAAAAACTGCAAGAACTTATGCTTCCTCCACCTAACATTTTCAAATGATTCTCCACCCAGCACCAGTGAGCAGGCAGGGAAGTGCTGGGGCCTTCTCCAGTATCTGCTATGTGAGCCAAAGACCTCCCTTCTTTAACGTTTAGCCAGTGGCAGACTGTGAACCACTGCAGTTTGGTGAGCCTTTTTCTTTCCTCTTTTGCTTATAGCATTGCTAGGGGCCACTCTGTCCCTCTCTACTGTAATGCCCAGATCTGATGTTAGACTTCCATTTCCTTAACAAATCTAAAGTTTTGTCCATCTCCCTAAGGTAAATTTTCATCTAAATCTTTATGGACCTATTCAGTCATGACATAATAACATAAATGTGTATCAAAATTGATAGTTCTCTCTATTCACAAAAGTAACTAAATGCAGGCTATACTCTGAAAGGAGTAGAAAACCAAAACATTGTACAAATGCATGGGAAATGTAGATTTGTGTGGAAAAGAGGTTTTGTTCTAAGACATAGGCGGCCAAAGAGGAATAGAAATATTCCACTGAGCAGAATATCATACTGCACACTTGGGAAGAAAACTAAGAAAGCTTTTGGGGGATGCTTACCTGTAGTGATTTTTGTTTGTAATCTAACACATTAAAGCTTGCCTGAAGATCAGAGTGCAGAGCTAAACCACTAGTTAACCACAGAGGACAAGCAGTGGCACCCACATCTTTAATCCCAGCACTCAGGAGACAGAGGCAGAAGGATCTCTATGACTTCAAGGCCATCCTGGGCTACAGGAGTCTAAAAAAGAAACAGAGTTCACACCTTTAATCCCATCACTTGGGATGGCATGCCTTTAATCCCAGCACTAGAGAGGAATATAAGGCAGGCTCAGCGCAGTCTCCGGGCAGTCTGAGGTTTTGGTGGAGAGCAGTGTGGTTATCCTAAGGACAGGATCACCCCCTTTGGTCTGAGCCCTGGTAAAGATAAGAACTCTTTAGTGGCTTGGCTGCTTCGCTTTCTGATCTTCAGCCCGGACCCCAATATCTGTCTCTGGGTTTTTATTATTTGTGCTACACTTACCCATCAATTAGTGGGTAAGAATTCTATTCTGGGAACTTCAAATTAAGTTTTGCTCAACTTTGTATCATTACAGTTATTTCACATAGGGCTGGCAAGATGGTTCAGCAGGAAAAGGAGCATGAGTAAAACTCCGGGCCCTAAAAATGTAGCCACTATTACCGTATAATTGCTTCTCTGAGAGGTAATATTAGTTGCTTCAAATTGCTGAGACAAACTAGTTTGCTTATGGAAATGAGCATAGAAGTTATGGACATGGATATGTGTATTATATAGAAAGAAATATATTCCATTTAAATGCAGCTTAAGAATTTTCAGCCATAATGACAATCCCCAAATAGGTAATTTCCAAATGTCTGCATGGATTGTGGCACTTATAGGAACATCATCTTTAAAATATATATGACAAATAGGAGTCACTAAATACCAAGGAGCCTGTCACCACCATAAGGCACTGTCCACTGCTTATGAATATTCGCCAGTGTAGTTCACAATCTACCATAACCTACAAATATCACTTCAAGAGTAAATAAGTGGTAAATTAGACATAGTATTTATTAAGCTAGCATAGTTTCTACGATGCTTTCTTTGTACATCTCAGTCACCAGCAACATTTGTTTTATCGTTAAGCTTTAAAAATCAATATACGGAAGACACGCAACAGCCAGCTCTTCCTTTGTACATCCCTTAAGGCAGCATTTATCTGAGAAACCTCTGCGTTCCCTCTGGGGATGGTTCCCCCAAAATAAGCTATTGACTTTGCTTGTACTTTTCTTCTGAAGTTTTACACCCTCATCATAGGGATTGGCATCACGGGATGAAAAATCTCTTGGGTTCTCAGGAAACAAGTTGACCTTCTCAAACTGATATTCAGGCAGTGGCTGGGCCTCCCAAGTGTTTACTGCTTTCTCCTGAGAGGGAGATGCAAGGACTGTTGAGAGAGAATGAGAAGAAATCCTATTCATCCAAATCTTCTATTAGATGTGAATTTAACATTAGAATACTAAAATCAGCTAATTATTAAAAATCGTTTTTAAATAAAGGTTGGGAAGTATAATTATTTGGAGGCTGCATAGTTTTAACTAAAATAGATACAGTGTTTTCCTATGAGAAGGCTTAGCCACCTTTAAATACTTTGCAATAATAATTTTTATTACAATACTCCTCCCATGCTGTAGAATTCAGCATTTTAACCAGTGAAATCAGTGGCTCCTAGTTTTTCTACAAACTCCTGCCAACATTAATTCCACAGCAGCTCTCTCACCTCTCAAAAGCAATAAGAAGCAAAATGACAGCATAAAAGCCAGCAGTCACCACTCACCTTCCCTGCCACGCCCTCTCCCTCAATTTCCCTTTCTATGAATTTCTCTATTCTGTACAGTTCACACAAAGTAGCTTCTGGTGTGTGGTTATTTTTGCCTTTCAATTAGCATAACATTCTCCATGTTTATCCAGGATGTCATCTGTTTATCCCCCTTTATTCCTTTCATGGCTAAACAACTTCCCATTGTGTGGATTACTGAATTACAGTTCACTCATCCATCTATCAGGTCTTGGATATTTTAGTTGTCTTCATTTTTTTTTTAACTATTATGAGTAACACTGCCATGGATATTCACACCCACCTTTGTTTAATTTATTTATTTAATTTAGAATCAATCTTATTTTACTTATCAATCCCAGTTCCCTCTCCCTCCCATCCTCCCATTCCCCACTCCGAGCCCCCCCCCATCTACTCCCCAGGGAGGGTGAGACCTTCCATGAAGGATCATCAAACTCTGTCACATCATTTGGGGGAGGGCCTAGGCTCTCCTCCCTGTATCTGGGCTGAGAGAGTATCCCTCTATGGGGAATGGGCTCCCAATGTCCATTTGTTCACTAGGGATCTATACTGATCTATTACCAGAGGCCCCATAGACTGCCCAGGCCTCCTAACTGACACCCACATTCAGAGGACTTGGTTCAGTTCGATGCTGGTTCCCCAGCTTTACAGCTGGGGTCTGTGAGCTCTCACTTGCTCAGGTCAGCTGTTTCTGTGGGTTCCTCCAGCACCATCTTGACCCCTTTGCTCATCACTCCTCCCTCTCTAGTACTGGATTCCAGGAGTTCAGCTCAGTGCTTAGCTGTGCACACCCTCATTGATGTGTCCGTGTTTTCAGTCATTTTGGAAATAAACCTAGGAGTGGAGCTGCTGGATCCTATGGTAATCCTGAACATCTTCCCACGGGCTTCTGGTATATCATCTTTGGAGGAGTACCTGTTAAGTCCCATGCTCATCCTTATTTGTTCATGTGTTGCCCTTGTTCACTTCCAATCAGGCTGTCTTTGTATGTGTAAGTTATAACTAAGAAGTCAATAGAAGCACATTTTTCTTTAATAAAACCTAAGGACGTGAGAAATGGAGATGTGCTCGAGGGACAGATTCATTGTTATACTGTTCTGAATTCAATCAACATTGGACACTGAATGATAGAAAACTAAAATAACTCCTGGATGTCTGCTGTGGCCATATTCAGTACTTCCTAAGGGGACATTTTTATTTCTTCTGAGGTCTTAATCTCAGCTCCAGCTCTGTGAGCCTTGCTCTGAGTTACACAACTCCATTGGAGGCTCAAAGAGAGAAACCTATCATGGTGGCTGATGAGTCATGGCTTATGGGAAATTAGTCGGCTCAGTCAGATCCCAGTGTTTTGAAATTAGAAGTATTGGAAAAGAAGAGTTCATGAGGTTCTAGACTGAGGAGATTTTATGAGGCTTGTCATGGAATAAGGGAACATGCATACCAATGAGCAAACAGAGAAAGAGGGACGAGGAGGAGGAAAGGGGTACGGAGGAGATAGAGAAGTACGGAGCTGGGCCTTCTGAATTCATTACTGGGTCTTCTGATTGCCCCCTGCTTCTTGCCAGGGATGCTCAGTCCCTGAAGCTACAGGACTACATGCTACCCCTTTCTGCTACAATTATGATGAATAAAACAGAATTATAACTAAACTAAACAAGAAAACAAAGAAAAAAGCAAACCAAATAAAGTTAGAAAGAAATGGTTAGATAGAACCAAGTTTCTAAATAAATGGTTATGAATTCTTAAACGTCTGGAATTCCTATGAAAACCTTAACACACACAGACATACAAAACTTAAGTACTTCAATGACTAAGAAATCAAAAGTATAACTAGTCATCTCCTAGAAAGTGCACACATAAATGGTTTTAGAGATGGATTCCACCTATTTTTAAAGAACAGTAGTTTACAAACAGTTCCATGTCATTTTATGTCAGGTATAATCCCTATTTCCAAACCAGGTAAGAACACCAAATTCTTATTTAAGTTCTTGTAAGTGATTTCACTTACAACCGTAGTTTGAAAAAAAAAAAAAAAACCTATGAAATCAGTTAAGTAAAACTCAAATATACTTTACAAACATAGGAGAAAGGCTTATACCAGAACGGTAAGTGTGGGTCAAGGTCACAAAATGCAGCTCATCATGTTAATTCGAGTTCAGCCAGCGGATGCTGCAATCACCAGGGAATTTCATCATTTTGAGCTCATTTCTTAACATCCATTCCCATATAGTCTCCTTTCTGACTGTTTGCATAGATGAACTATCCATGCCAGGACTTCTGTCCTCGGTCCTTCCTTATGTCCCTTATCGGTTTTCACTGCATGTGAATCGCTCTTTTGTTTTTGCTTTCTTATTCTATCAGGCACTCTGAATGAACCTTACCTGAACTGATTCTTCCACTTCCTGTTCTGGCCACCCTGACCTTGTTGCTCCCGGTATAATTCAGATATAGGTGTCTTTCCCCTGCTGCTCATCTCTGCGTGGCTATCCTCCCACTACCTCTATCCATTGCCTACCGTTGTGACACGGTGCCCGGCAGTGGCTAATTTTAAATGAACAAAGATGTACTTAATTCTTGCTTTGTAGATGGGACGGTGTCCAGGGACCTTCCTGTAGCATCATTCCACAGTGAAAGTGTAGGACAAGTGTGAGATCAAGAAAGTGAGGAGGCTGAGGTTGATTTTCCAACAAATTCATTCAGGATAATCTAAGTCTGTGATGAGGCCTGACTCCATTTCAAGGACATTTAGTTCCCGTTTCCTAAACCCCACCACAGCAACGTCTTTTGTCAAATGTTATCTTTTTAATAAGGCCGACTCTGACCACACTACTTTATATCTAAAGTACACTTCATATTAGTTTGTATGTTTTAAAATTGTAGGTACATATATTCTAGGCACAAATTTCTCTTTCCCGTAGAAACTCACCGGTGGAGCAAAGTCTAGTCTAAGAAATGCACAGTGGTGAGCAAACACACACCACCCCTTCAGATGTTTACCTGGGTTTGTGAATCTTCCCCAGGCCGAAGACGGGATTTGGTGGGGGCTGAAGGTTTTGACCAGCTGTGAGGACTGATCAGAGAGATGTGTTAAAGCAGCTCCCTGGTCCATGTCCAAGTGGAAATGCCTCCAATCAGTTTGGCCACAGAGCTTTATAATTTCTGTCAGCAGGTGCCTGCCACACAGCTTCCTGGGTTTGCTTTCCTCTTGCTCCAGGGAGAAAGTAGCCTGTAGGAGTCCAAGACACAACAGACAGCACAGCTGCTTCATCCCTGGGCTCCGCGGCAGGGCCTGGCGCGCTGCAACGGCCGTCGCCCCGCCCCCTCCCCGCCCCTCCCCGCCTCCTTCCCAACATACCACGCCCCTGGCCACGCCCCTCTCATGCAGTCCTCGGGATCCGCCAATCTTCTCCAGAACACTGAGATTCAGTGTGGGGTGTTCCAGGCTTGCAGGATGTTGAAGAAAATAAGCTCTTGTTCCCTCAGAAGTGAAATATCTCCGTTCCCTGACTTTTATTAATTTTCCTTGTCGTCCTCACCAAGAGACTGCCATTAAAATATGAGAACACAGGAGGACGCTGAGTAACCAAAAATACAATAATGGAAGATGCTGCAAACTATACCTGGAATGTGAACTCCTTTTTACCTAGTGGTTACATGAGACATCTCGTCCCTTCGGAGACCTCTCATCTCCTTCATGGGTTATATCTTGTAACTTATTTATTTATTTATTTACTGGAGCTGGAGAGATGACTCCTCAGTTAGGAGGAGCCTTTGCTGCTCTTGCAGAGGAACTGGGTTCCTTTCCCAGTACCCATATGTCAGCTCATAATAGTCTGTCACCCCAGTTCTGGCCTCCATCTGTACCAGGCACACACATGATGCATATACAGACATGCAGGCAAACACTAATACACATCAAGTAAAATAAACCTTTTAGAATTATTACTTTTTTTTAGGTTAGCACACAAAGTGCTGGGCTGAATTCATCATGGCATCTTCTCACATCTATGGCATTGTAGTTTGTTCTCACTCAGTCCTTTCCCTTACTGCCCTCTCCCATACCTCCCACAAGTTCAGTTTCTTCTTCAGTAAGTCCCTTCCTGCTTTTTTGTTCCTGTATCCTATTATTTGATTTCCTCCTATCTTCTTTAGGTACTCATCCCTCTTGGGTTTCCCTTTGTAGCTCCATGAGCTACAAGCACACATATTCAAGCATACACACACACACACACACACACACACACACACACACACATTTAGTATCCTGGTAAAGTTTACCTTAGTTTATTTGTATGAACACATTCTTCTTATAATACATCTCTACTGTTTTATTATACTTATTTATTGGTGTGTGTGTGTGTGTCACAGTGTGTGTATGTGTATATTAGATACATATGTGTGTGTGTGCCACTGTGTGTGTGTGTGTGCATGTGCTACAGTGTGTGCATGTGTATATATATGTGTGTGCATGTGTGTGTGTGGAGGTTGGAACCAGTTCTCTCCATGAACCACATGGGTCCCAGGGATCGGTCCCTTTGTCAGGCTTGGTGGCAAGTGCTTTAACTTGCTAACTCACTTAACTGCTACACATTATTATTACCATATAACAACTGAATGGATTTGTTTAACTGAAAACTTTATTATATAGATGACTTAGAGTGAACAAGTTCTAATATTATAAAATTAATTTCAGACTGATTTATTTTGTTCCATTGACTTTATTCTAGAACATTGCCATAAAACATTTATCTTAGAAAAGTAAACTATTTATCTTTCTGAGTCAAACATACTTCAACATGATTCACAATTGTATCCATTTTTTCTACAAAGCTAATAATTTCATGTTTTCTTTTTGAACCTATAAAAATTCCATTGTATATATTTGCCATTGTTTTTTAGTTTTTAAATTCAAGTATGTGTGTGGGTACCCACTGAGATCAAAAGAGGGTGTAGGGTCACCTAGAGCTGGAGGTACAAATGTTAGGAGCTGCCTGACACGGTGATGGGAACCAAACTCAGGTCCCCTGAAAGAGCAGCAAGTGCTCTTAACCACTGAGCCCTGTACCAGTTGGATCAGCTGAAGGACATCTAGGATGCCCATTTCCTAGCTATTGTAAGTAGTGCAGCAATGAACAAGTGAGCATCTCTGTGATAGGTTGATTCAGAGCCCCTGTGATAGATTCCCAAGCACCATAGTGCTGAATTCTATATAGTTCTATCTTCAGTTTCTTGAGGAATCTTCATATGGCAACATGCTGTGAACAAATTTTCCTTTTCCCTCACATTTTTGCCAGAATTTGCTGCCAAGTGCTTTGTTTATTGGTAATATTCTGACTAGAGCAAGATGGACTCTCAAAAACAGTTATAATTTGTATTTTACCAAAGCAGTTATAACGTGTATTTTATCAATGCAGTTATATTTTGTATTTCCCTGGTGGGTAAAGAATGTTCAAGTACTTTTTAGCCATTTTCATTTTTGCTTTTGAAAGCTCAATTCATTAGCCCATTTATTGATTAGAAGACTAGCTTTTCTGGTGTTTAAAATTTGCAGTTCCATGGGCTGCAATGATGGTTCAGCCATTAAAAGGCTAGGCTCACAACCAAAAATATAATTTGCAGTTCTTCATACATAGTGGATATTGTTGCCTTGTCTAATGTGTAATTAGTAAATAATTAGTAATAATTTCCCCCCATACTGTAGGCTACCTCTTTACTGTGGTGGCTGGCTTAATTATTTATTTATTTATTTATTTTTATTTATTGTTGTACAGAACTTTTTAATATCACATGATCACAGTTTTTAATATTGGGATTACGTCCTGTGCTCTCGGGAGTCCTCAGAAAATCTCTGGCTATAATGTATTTTGAAGTGTTTACCCTATGTTATCCTCTTGCATTTTCACAGTTTCAAGTTTCAAAGTCTTTGAGAATTTTGAATGAAAAAAATACCGCGTGGAAGAATCTAATTTCATTTTTTTATGAGGAAATCCAGCTTTTCTGAGCACCATTGTTAAAGAGGTTATCTTTTCTCCAAAATATGTTTCTGATACTGTTGCCAAAAATTAAGTGACTGTAAATGTGTAGCTCATTAGGGGGTCTGCTGTATTATTCCATTGGTCCATGAATCTGTTTTAAGTTTGTATTGTTTTGTTTTTTGATTGGTTGGCAGAAACAGAGTAGCATAAGGTTTCTTGTAAGCAAGAATCTTAAGGAGGAAAGCATGAGAGGGATACAGTTCAAAAATAGCTCCTGACCAAGATTGTGGTGGCTAGCAAAGCTATCTTTCAAAATGGATGGAGAAATGGCACAGTCTTTAGTATCTGCCAGGTATAAGATGGTGTCATCAGCAAGTGGGGATACTTGAACTGCAGGCTTATATAGGTGTATCTCTTGCATGTCTTTTTCTTGTTGCCCTAGGAATTTTAGCACCATATTCAAATCAATAGAGAACAACGTTGTTTTGTTTCATAATTTTCAGTACACTCTCTCAATTTTTTTTCCCCCTTGTAGCATAATATTGCCCATAGATGTGTTAGGTTGAGACACTTCATTTTATTCCTAGCATCTCCAGGGCATTTATCATGAAAGGGATGCTGAACTTTGTAGAATGCTTTTTCTATGTCAACTGAGATGATCTTGTGATTTCTGTACTTAGAGCCGTTTATGTGTTGAATAATACATATTTGCTTGAATATGTTGAACCGAGCCCTTCTTTTGACTCACTGAATGGCTTGAATGAGCATGGGTAAGTTACTTCCTGTGTCATGGGCAACTACACCCCTGCAGAAACTGACACCTCTCAGGGAGGGGTAAGACCTCACAAGCACCCCCATCCCATTCCCCGATCCATGATGGAATGCTGAAAGGCCCAATTTTGTGCAGGTCCCATGTCCAGAAGACAGGGAGGCAGCATTTCAGAGCACTCAGCCCCATTGTGTAGAGCATTACATGTTTTGCCACTCCACTCTTCCCAGCTGTCCCATGGGCCTTGATGGAGGTGACACAGATGTCCAGGTTAGAACTAAGCACTAGATACTCACTTCTTCTCTCTACAATGAGTCATTATGAGTCCCTGCATTAAAAACTGCCTTTTTCATCATTTCCAATGAAATTTCATTATATGGAAGTAATTTCATCAACTTCAGAATGAAAGTCACAGAGAGGCATGTAACTGATTCCTATCTGTCTGCTGACTCTCTTTTCACAATTTTCTGTACTCCTGGATTTTTTGTTTGATTGTTTGTTTCCTGAGTTCTAGTGGCATCCATGAATACTGTTAAATCAACTCTCAGTCGGGGGTTTTAACAATGAAGTATTAAAGACTAAGACAATCTCATCACTATCCTTGAGAAATAACCGACACCCAAAATACATTGGGCCACTTGTTCTACTCAGAACTTTTTAGGGGAATGCTGTGAGACAAGGGCATGCCCATCGTCTATAGGGGGAGACTTAAAGGCTCAAACTACATGTACCAGACAATCTGGTTTACATGATGTTCTATGCTTTCTTTACCAGTTCTGGCTAGTTCTGTGTTGAGGTAACACAATCTAGAGTCATTGGAGAGGGGGATCCTCAGTTGAGGAAATGCTTCCATAGGACTGCAGTGTGGGCAGAACTGTTGGGCATTTTCTTAATCCCTGATTGATGGGGGAGGGACCAGCCCACTATGGGTGGTGCCACCTCTGTGCTGTTGGTCATGGGTTCTAAGAAAGCATGCTGATCAAGCCATGAGGAGCAAGCCAGTAAGCAACTTTCCTCCATGGCCTGGCCTCTCCTGCCTCCAAGTTCCTGCCCTCTTTAAGGATCGTCCCTACTTCCTTCAGTGATGAACAGTGATGTGTAAACATAAGCCTAATAAATCCCCTTTCCCCCAAGTTCCTTTGGTCATGGTGTTCCAGCATAGCAACAGTGACCCTGTTGTCTTGCTCTATATTTTCACATGTCACCTCTTACACACTGACACGTGGTAGATCTAACTTCCTCATCTGTTACTCCCATCGTACCAGAACGTCTTCTCCATGCAGGTAAGAATCTTCATCTAATTTCTTCACTGTGACATCTTCCTTGACTTGAACAGTGTCAGGTATACAGTAGGTTCTTAACAATGCTTTAGTGTAATAGATACAACTAATAGTATTATCAACGAACGATGAATTAGTACTAGTATGTTCATAGTATTTGATAAATTAATGAATAAGTGAATAAATGAGAATGTATGAGTTATTTTGTACTGCTTCCCTGATTCTGACATCATTTTGGTTTATT